ACACACATCGCAACTTGGATTTCATTCAATCAAGAGTTTGTTTTTCTCACGTTCTCACCAGCACGACGAGCATGAGTAGGCTCGCCGCAGCTCCTCCATGCTCACGTCGGTCCCCACGTCCACGTTGCCGTAGAAACTGCAACGCGACTGTCTGGCTGTTTGCGTGAACGTGTTGGTGACGTTCTGAGGAAAGGAGAACATCAGAATGGTGAGGTGGCTCCTAAAGTAGTGATTAAACCCACAGTGACTGCCAAGAGAAGACTTCCGGTTCATGTATGTTTTTATATTTAGATTACCTCTGAACATACGAAGAACAAGCACTGTATGATTTTTAACGCTGATGTGAACAGAGATGTGGGGATTCTCAGGGCAGTTCTGAATGATTTTTCCCGGGATCACAAGGATGTGTGTGGTGGGTGTAGTATCCTCATTAACAACTTTGGTTGTGTTACATGTTATTTTGGGAACAGGAATCTTTAAATAGATATGGCTCCTAACTGGGGAAAACTACGTTCTGTCCTCACCTAGATTGTTTTGCTGCTTTCTTTCATTCCTGCGGGATACAGTTAATGAAGGTACTTTCCGGGCGTAACTGACATTTTCCGTACTTGCAAATCATAGCATGCTGTTCCCATGTTTAACAGTGCAAGTATTTTCCATAGGACGTGCCAGACCTAATAATTGTACCGGTAAAACTGCATTTGAACGAGAACACAGTTACATCATTAGCTGAACAGGTTTTTCTGCAGTGCTCAAAGACTTCTGTCCAGTCATTGTAACAGACAAGAATGGTGAGGAAATATAATAAATCATGTGGGTGGTTATTTCTTGGGTAGCTATCTTTTCATCACAGCGTACAACAAACCCTGCAGTAGGGCTGCAAAATTATAGACAAAATCATAATCACGATTATTTTGGATCAATATTTCCATCACGATTATTCATTCATTTAAGGCACAAAATCTTTTTATTGCACGTTCAAGTGAGCAAGAACACTGCTTGCACTTTCATTGTTGTGCTACATTCTGGCTATATCTCCTTATCACAGTGCATCTCGTAGAAGGAAAATATAAATGAAATAGTAAAACACTTTTTCACCCAAAATCAACAGGGCACTGCTTTCACTTCCATGTTGTGCTAAATTCCAGCTAATGTGCACACTTTTTCAGGTGTTAATAGGAGCCATACTATGCACTTTTACCACAAGTTGACATGGTTCTTTGTGGTCTGAATGAAATGCATAAAAGATACTTTGGTCAAAAGACCACAAGGATCATTATTAAGGGCCTGACTTAATTATTTTCAGCCTGACTAAAACAGCTCCGCTCAAAAGGACCCGTTGGGGGTCTTAATGGTAAAAAATTTTTATAGTAAATAATCGGTTGGGCCTTTCAAGCCCGGCACGGGATGGAAGTAAAAAGGGAAGTGTGCGTGGGGGGGGGGGGGACAAGCTCCGATGCCGTTGGCAAAACCTGGTTCCTCGATTTATATGCAAAATCCAAATACGATCACGCTTGTTTAATTGTGGTAACTACAATTGTGATGATGTTTAGAATTTGATTCATTGTGCAGCTCCACCATGCAGGCCCGGCTGGCCCACCTCCACCTGCCCTGGGCCCGGTTTTTATACTCAACGCCAAAAAAGGACAGCACAACTATCTAACATGTCTATTTAGGGTCAATGGACCTTGACTTCTGGGTGATCAGGGGCCACCCCGAACCTGACCAGACCGAAGGGGACAGGCAGCCGCTCATAAATGTCCACCTCAACGTCCGGACGTGCCTGGGAGGACAGAAATGAAAGAGAGACACAACAGGAAGTTAAAACCAATTCTTTTGATTACAGTTGTTGAAAATATTTGCAATGAGCTGACTTATGAGGATTACAGTAGTTAAAACTTTTTAAAAATCTGACGTGTGAATGATAATTACTGTGGGAGTAAAAAAATGTCTCTCCTTACTTTGCATTTCATATATTTAATTTGAACAAGATATTTCATGTACTCTATTCTTTACTGATTCTTTTTGGTTTCTTTCTACATCGTTTTCTTTATGCATTAGGAAAGTAGATTAAAAAAAAAAGATCAAAGTGCCACACATAGGAATTTACAACAAACATGACTAGGAAACTGAAATAACACCATCTAACTCTTCAGATAAATACCTCCACAAAACTAAGTGCAGCACTTCACAGCCCGGTGAGTCAAAAGTACATCTCGGTCTACACGAAGATGTGTGAGATACGGGTTTCCTGTTCTACTTATACAAGACCTGTGCATTTATAAGCACACGCACCAATTTAAAGGGCACCAGCTGAAGTAAACAGTTGAATCAGTTAAGAGCCTCATGGAGGAAGGTGGGGACTCTTTTGACTGGATGTTTGTGCAAGGTGAGCCAACGGCTACAATGTGGAGACTACATGCTGATAACATGCAAACAAAGCTTTTTGCATGGAATATTAAAACACCACAACTTCTTTTAAAGTCAAACTTAGAAGGCCTCTGACTTAAATGGCCTTTAAGAGAAGAATAAAAAAAATTGTGGCTGGATACAAGGTGAAAAGCAGAGAACGAAGAAGAAAGAGTGCCCTGCATTGCCATGGTTAACCAAAATAGAACCACAGTGATTTATTTCTACTGCTAACATCTAAAACAATAAATGTGAAGGTATAAATAACACTTCTAAAATTGAAAGGAGATAAAGTTCAAGTAAAAGACATTATATATTGTATACAATCCGGTGGAAGGCTAATGCAATAATATCATGAAAACAGGAAGCACCTTGATGAGGTGCTGCGCCGTGTAGAAACCTCCCGGACCGCTTCCCACAACGCACACCTTCGTGCTGCTACCTGCGGGATCAGTGACGACATACAACGAGTGACGTCAGACACAGCGACAAAAAGTTGCTGTATGTTCAAGAGTGTAACTTCATCAAAATGAGACTTTAGCTGATTCTGTTTTGAACCGGGAACCTCACCCCAAGCCCGGGGGAGGATTCCAAGGGGGGGGGGGGGGGGTGTAACACTTTTAAAAGCGACTCACCATCCGCAAGTCGACTTTTCCATCTGAGGTTACTTCTCCCTGAGGTCCACAGCTTCCACCCGGAAAACAGCATTTTGTGGCCGCTCATTTCCCCCCCTGTGCTACAGACTAGTCTCCTGGCTTCAGATCAATAAACAGTTTAAAACCCGCTGCCTCGTGTTGCTGGCATTTGTTAATCAGCTCAACATCCCCGGCTGTGCTTTGAGAGGAGTGCAGGGAGCAAAAGCCAAGGAGAAAACATCACTCTTTTCCGGGCTGCGTGTTCTGACGTAACGTTAGCTCACGTTAACCTGTGCTGACAGGGTACCGGCGCGGAGCTAACTCATGCTAACAGTTCCCGTACACGCGTCCTTGTTTTCTCGAATGTGACAGTTGACTCATAGTTAGTTGCAGTGTTATTATCAGAATAGACATTTTTCAAGGCTGCGCCGCGTGTCACGCTCACAGCGGTCCGTGGGGGAAAAAAAACAGCTAATCGCGACGCAAGGTTCCGCAGGAAGAACATGCACCAGCTACCGTCTTCATACTATGAGCTATTATTTACTGCATTACCGAAAAGGTTTGCTTTTCAGAGCCGAATTCAAATTTCAACTTCACGGGATAATCCAGCCTATTTGAAAAGAAACACTTGGGATTTAGCGGAGTCTAAATTATCTTATCGTATTATCTTCCGAGATAAATCAAACTTATTGGGGGATAAAATACGTTCCGGGTGGTGTTTATTCCGTAGCTCCCGTGGTTATTAACGTTTTAACAGAGAGTTCTCTTTTTATTGAACCAGTGTTGCCAATTCCTCAACGAGAAAAGTCGCTTTAGCATCAGCGGCGGCTTTGCGCATGCGCGCGTGACTTTCAGTCTGGACGACGTGACGTGTGTCTCCTCCGAGGTTCCGAGTTCCGAGCATTCTGTGAGACTCGCGGAGGACAGTAACCGCAAAACAACGTGCGTGCAACGACGTGCTTTCAAGTCAGACATCACACTGGTCTCCAATAAAACCAGACAAGGACGCTGGTCGC